ATGGATACTAATTTAAAACTTACTGCTCTTGATGCTTCTGATCCTATTGTTGATGCTAGTGAGTATAGGAGGTTAATTGGAAGGTTACTGTATCTTACTATAACAAGACCATATATCTCTTTTAGCATACACTGCCTTAGCCAATTCATGGCAGCTCCCAAACAACAACACTTGATGGCAGCTCACAAGGTCCTCAGGTATATCAAATTATCATGTGGCCAAGGTATACTCTTTCCAAGATCTTCTTCTTTATCACTCAATGCCTTTAGTGATAGTGATTGGGCTGGGTGTGTTGACACTAGAAGGAGTGTTACTGGATTTGCTGTTTTTTTTTGGGAAACTCTTTAATATCCTGGAAATCCAAAAAGCAACCTACAGTGAGCAGGTCTTCAGCTGAGGCTGAATACAGAGCCTTAGCTGCTACTACCTCATAAACTCAATGGATTTTATATTTGTTACATGATTTGCACATATCTCACTCTCTCCCTGTTTCTATATTTTCAGATAGCAAATCAGCAATTTCTATAGCTAACAATCCAGTCCTTCATGAGAAAACCAAGCATATCCAGCTAGACTGTCATTTCATAAGAGAAAAGTTGTCACAAGGCATCATTTCATTACATCATGTTTCAACAAAAGACCAGCTTGCAGACATACTTACTAAACCAGTTGGAGGAGCTCAATTTCAACACCTCATCTCCAAGTTGAACATGAAAAACATCCATGTTCATCTTGCGGGGGGGTAATAGATTGTATATCTCCTTTTTTGTAAATAGCACTTTAGTATATTTAATTATTTGTAAACAGCACTTTTAGCTGTAATTGCATAGCACTTTATTTTACTTACTTTACCAAGCATTGTAACCCTAAGTATATAAGGACCCTAAGAGTCCTCTGTACAGATCACTGTTGTTCATTTTAATTTTACGCAGTTCATTTTTCTTCACTATCTCTCTCTATGTTCAATGTTCAAGAGATACCATTTGCAGCTGGTGTGGGAGTTATGAAGAGGACTTGGAACATATTCTATTCAGATGTGAGAGAGCAAAAACAAGTTGGAAGCTGGCAGGATTGGACTGGGAGAATATGGATAAAGATCAAATGTGCTTCAAAGGGTGGTGGGAAGAAGTTTGTAAAGTGAAAGGGAGGATGTATTAGATAGAAAGACTGTCATTATCATCTTATATCATGTGGTGGTTATGGAAAACGAGAATAATTGGGTTTTTAAGCAGAAGAAAATTTCAGAATAGCAGCTGGTAAACAAGGCAAAAATGGAGTGGATTGAATATGAGAGCGTGCAGGGAGCTGATAACAAGAATTCTCATATGAGTGTGGCAGGGGCAGACAACTCAAGCTCTGAAGTGGTTCTTGGAGTAGGGGTTCCAGATGAGGAGCACAGTGCTAGTGTACACAGAGGAGCAGTAGAAAAGGTGAGGGGCACATTCATAGGAGATCAAAAGGTGGCAGCATGGATTGATGAGGAGAATGCAAGTAACAGACCAATGGATAAGGAACTGGAGCAAATAAGGGATTGGCTAATAAAAGGCAAGGAGCTTGGATGGACTGATGTGAGAATTGCAGTGCAGAAAAAGACGATGGCCAAACAACTCAACAAACTATCCCTGTTTTCTTCAGTTTCCTCAGTGGTTATTAATGATTTGAGCAGACGGCCATGTTTTGGTCTTGAAGGGAACTCATGTTTGAGGATCCCCTGTCAAATCCTAAGCTAGTTTTAGCGATAGGAGGAGATTGTAATCACTTGGTTACTCGCATGTGTACATTTTGAGTAGACGTTGGTATAAAATTTATTGTTGACAAAAAAAAAGAAAAATTACGAGCAAATATATATTTTCTTTTGTACTATTTCTGATGTCGTACAATGTGTCATTATATATTTCTTTTGTACTATTTCTGATGTCGTACAATACGTCATGACACATCGGACTACACCTAAAGTCTGAAATAAAAAAATTCAAATTTTGAATTCTAAGGTACATAAAATTTTAACATTAACCAAGTACATTCATTGGGGAGTAATACATGAAAAAAAAAAAAAAAATCAAATTTCAATCGAAAAGAGTGATAAAGAATCAAGAACAACATATTCCCCGAGCTTATTGTACAATTCTAGGACCATAATTATCAAGAATCATCAAGTCCATTAAAATGAAGGACTTGCACAAGAATAAAATTAATGACAAACAAAAGAATGAAGGATTCTTATATAAATTAGGGTTATTTTGAACCCATAAAAAAAAAATAAAAAAAAAATAAAAAAATAAAAAAATAAATGAGATTGTTTGTTAATCCTTCCTAGTTACTTTCCTCATCCTGCACTTCAATCAAGGTCTTTATCACCACATCCGTGGCATTAGCAAGAAACTCCACCCAGTCCCTAAATCAACAAATTAAAAATTGATCATATATATTAGAAAAATAAATATATAAATTAGTGATGCATGTGAAATATTTTGATTTTATATATTTGTAATCACAATATAAGTGCAAAATTTAGGACCAGATTTTGGTTTTAAATGTGGGAATTAAAACAATAAGAGTTGTTATTCAATAAAATTACATTAAAATAAAGAAGAGTTAAATTATTTCTGCACAAAATTATGAGGATTTATACTCCCTCATTTTCTTTTATTAGTATGTCATTATGTGCTTTTATACACAAATTAAAAAAAAAAATGAAAAATTCTGGCCAATATTAATGTTATTTAAAGCAAATTAACATTAATTAATTTATTGTTTTTAGCTTCGTTATGTTCTTTCAAGAAAAAAAACTCATCTTCTTCCATAACTTTCCTCGTGTAGTGTATTAATTAAATGAGGGTAACATATATAAAGTATATATAAAAAATTTAAAACGACATTTATTTGATAAATTTTATCAATAAAGTCAAAATGACGAATAAAATAAATAAGAGGGAGTATAATTAATGAAATATTCAATTTATACATAATTATATAATTTTGTGCAAATAATGATGCTCGTACTTACATATGATTTAGGTCCATTTCAATATGCTTATAATTTATTCACTGATCTTATTAACTTATTGCATTAAAATAAATTTTGTTTCATTATGAAATTCTACGAGAATGTCTAAGGACAGTTTCTTAAAAAATAAAAGAGTTCAATTTTGACATGTTTTGGTCAACGAATTAAGTAAACCTACAGGCACTTACCCTGTCCGTGTGTCGAAAGTCAATCCAACGGTCAACTTAGCCTCATCAAGGGCGGATCGGAACCTATCGAGGTCCTTGGGCGGGCACGACCCGTCGTCCCTCACCCGGAGGTCCGAGGGCTTGACGTCGCAAAAGACGGGCACGACCCGCTTCCTGAGCTCCATCATCCGGGTCAGCTCATGCAGGCAGAAGTAGGAGTCGCAGTACATGGGCGAGAAGACCGCAATCCCCACCCGACAATCCCTGATGGCCGCGTTTATTTTTTCAAACAGCCGGTCGCCGGGCTTCATGCTCTTGCTGTCGAGGAACGGCCGGAGGCCCAGGGCGCCGAGGTGGCTGTGCAGCAGCCCCGCCACGTTGCGCTTCGTGTCCACCCCTCGGTGGTTGATGAACACGTCGCACGGCTCCGCCTGGGAGGTGGCGGGAGAGGGGCGGAGGACGTGGCGGCCGGTGGCTCGGACGACGGCGGAGGTGACGGGACGGTGCATTTCTTTCTTGATTTATTTGTTTCTTGGTGGTTTTTTTGGGGCGGTGATGTTAATGGTGGTGGGGGGTTTTTGGATTTTTATAGGGGCGAAATTGGGATGAAATTTTCATTGGCTTTCGCCGTGTTTGAAATTTTGTTTATTTTCAACCAAGAAAACTGGAAATTTTCGGGCATTGCTGATCAGAATTTTTGTTGGACTGATTGAAAGCTTTTTTATTATTATTATTATTATTA